CCCAATAAAAATAGCACGGTAGAAAGCTATTGTAGAAAGATTTTTACAGATGAAACCATCTGTAGGCAGAACACCGGGAAGATGGGGCGACTCTACCGATTAGGAAATTTTGGTGAGTTTCTGGAAATTTCAGCATTTAATAAAACCCAATACTTTCACCATATGAAACAGACGCTTAACATTTTCTCCATAGGCACACCTGAGTCATATGTCGAATAAGTATATGGCTTTATACATCCACTTTTTCGGCAGTGTTTCTCAAAAAGCTCGCAATTCCGCAATTACTTCTTGGTTCCTGTACACAAGTCAAATGATTGTGCACCTCCACAAGCCCAATAATTGCCAAAAAGGTAATATTTTGAGCATTAAAAGAGTCAAGTAGAAAGCGGGCCATTGCATGCGCGCTTCCAAACTTTACAAGTGTACATACCACAAAACAGAGCCGTCTTAAATGCGACAATGAAGTTCATTTTGCACTTGTTCAGCGTATTCCCGCTTGGAGAATTTGAAATAAAATTCTTTTCCCGATGGCTTTCGAAGTCAAGAACGCCCCATATGAACAAAATAGCACAAGAAGTTGCGCACCCCCTTTTTATAAGCACGTACTGTATTTATAAACAACTTGTTTCTCAACAAGCTCTGCATGAAGTAAGCGCAATGACGCTGAAGTTACTGAATAGAGAAACGACAAACTGTAGTGTACACTAAGAGGTTCAGAAGTATACTGCAATACTGGCTATAACTCGAGGACTGCCCCAAAAGGGAGAGAAAAAAGTGACAAATGATTTTGAACATAGAATGGGCAATCGCCATGCACGCGCGTGGTTCTAACTAAGATAAACTAGAGTCTGATTATGCGAGGGTGATTGTGATAACTGCGCATTCCCGATAATACGAATATTTTACATTCAACATTAATCTTAAGCCTATTCAAGTTATTTAAATCAATAAAGTTGTTTGAATGAGTAAAGTTATATCAATCAATCGACCTTAAGCTGACGACATTCTCAAGGACACGTGTAAAATCTAGTTCCATGTTCCTAAGGCCGGACATGCACTGCAACCTTGAGACTGAGACAGGAACTGATGCGAAATGTGTGACTGACTTCTTTTCTGACCATTAGTCTCGTCTTTATTATATTTTCGCACTGAACTTTGACTCCTACACTCATTCTAAGCATTTATAGAAGTAGAAAACAAAGTTTTTTCTTTCATAACTACCTGCGTTAATAAGGGACTTGCTCGCCCTGAGATTAATATATTGAGAACACAAAGCTTATCGAACCATGGTGAATCATTAAAGCTACGATGCGATCTGCACACTGCTTGGCAATCTAGGTATTAACGACGGGGAGGCCACTACACCACTCATACGCCGTAAGTGTCGACTTTCTTTATCTGCACTTGCTGAAGGGACAATCTCCTCCACTGCTTTTGTTGCGATAGCAAGTATACGAACACTCTCGGCTGGATTTCGCCGCCGCGGCGGCATCAACGTCGCCGTCACTCACCGTATACGTGCCTATATAAATGACTGCGCAAAAAAGAAAAATAATTCACAAAACGTCTCCATAGCACGGAATCGAACGTGGGATTTCTGTAGTGTGAGTGCGAGGCATTAACCACTGAGCCACGAAGAATCCTCTCCTTCGGTTACGCCTCGCATTAAAACCCCTGAGCCACGAAGGAACACCTCCTTTGGTTAACACGTAGCACTCACACTTCAAGGTCCCACGTTCGATACTCCGCGCTGAAGTATTTTTCTGAATTATTTTTCCTTCTTGCGTGTATATATATATATATATATATATATATATATATATATATGGTGAGTGACGTCGTGCCATGTTCGATTTAGCGTGCCGGAGTTGTTTTCTGAATTATTTTTCTTTCTTGCGTTTCCATATACATGTATATGACGTCGGCGTCGCCGTCACTCTCCGCATATATATACGTATCTATATATATGAAAACGCAAGAAAGAAAAATATTTGTGAAAAAGACCCCAGCGGGCGGAATCGAACCTGGGATCTCTGCAGTGTGAGCACGAGGCGTTAACCACTGAGCCACGAAGGAACACCTCCTGCAACGCTCAAACGGCAAGCTACTTATATCTACTACTTACCACTGGTTACGGGTATCTCGGGGGGAACTGTCGTGTTTTCAGCATTACCAGCAAGATGTTGCAATGAGCGCGCGTCACTACATCGTCGCAATGCGGTCGCGCGCGCTCTTATCTCCCACGCGTACTTTGCCCTGTGGAGAGGAAGCTGGGTGGACGCTAACGCCCACGATTGTCTAGCGGTGCAGACAATCGTGCGTATCGGCTGGCCTTGGGCTTTCACCAGAATGATTCTGTTGTAATTACCGGGCCCAGAAAGGTCACTGCAATCGTTGCACAGCCTCCATTTACGAAAAAAGGCGCGCTTTTCAGACACAGCGTAACAACTGAGACGCTTATTCGCGTTAATCTGTACCTGTGAGAACGTTTCGTGCGTTTTTTGTGCGTGGAAAACGCGGGGCTGATTTTGATCAGCCCCGCGTTTTTGATCTGATTGCCATTCTGCGCGTGACCTTCCGATTCGTTGCTATTGCATTCATTGCTTCGCCTTTACGCAAATCTGTGATTTTTCGTTAGCCGCAATCTTCAATAAATGCAAATTTTTTTCTCAGATAATTTTCGCGCGATTCTTCTGATTTTGTGTTTAACATGATTTATTGATAGATATGGGTGCCTAGGAAGACCAACCCTGAAAATCCAGCACCGGAATCAATAATACCGTCGTTTTCGAAGCAATGATGTGCTGCTACAGTTTCAATTTCACCTTCAAAGTAGATATTATTTAAACAACATTCCAATGCCGCCGGTTTGACCCTTTTTGATCTTTCATGCATGAAAATGGCACCATCTGTTCCTTTCATATGATTAACATGATGGTGTGCCTCTCTCCGCCAAAAAAAGTCGCTAGCTTCGAAGCCGGCCGAATAGTCACCCCTGAAAAAAGAACCGAACGGGTCCCGGAACATGGTGTCAGTTTACAGTTTTTAAATTTCTAACTTCAGAAAGTTGGGACTATAAGTGGCTGGAGATCGAATATGCTCCCCTTTAAATAGTGTTGCATGAATATGTAGTTTTCAAACGAGAAATACATCGCTATATCAAGGATTTTGTTATACTGAAGTTAGTCATCTGGAGCCCTCCACTACAACGTCTCTCATAACATGGTGGTTTTGGCACGTTAAACCCTGCATATCTATCAGTCAAGTTAGTCATATCAGGGTTTAGGTATAATCGGAAATCTTGAAGACATTTTAAGCTCCCCTCACGCAGAAAGAAATGCACATAAGGCAGTAAGTGCACGTATGTATTCGGAACACTTATATCTTTGAAAGGGTGAAAGTAGCAAAAAGCGGTATTACAGGAATAGCGACAAAGAATTTTATGAACAGTAATAGTTCTCCTATTCGCCGAATGACAGAATTGGCTGCTAAATCGAGACTTCGGTTTTTGTAAAAATGGAAATCAACTTACTCATTATCTCCACACGCCATTTAGAGTATAACAAAGGAAAAGGGGAATACTAATTGACATAGCAGCGAATCATCACGGATATTACCTTCGTATGAAGAATGAGTGAAAGATGAGCACAAAGTTGAGCTATTTCACAAACTACAATTGCCAAGCTACACAACTACACAAGCTACAATTGCCTTGACAAGCGTTTCACGTGCACCATGCTATACGTTCTATAACCAGTCTTCTTTTTCTCAGAGTTTAGTTGCGAAAACTGCTGTTATACAAAAGTTGAGCAGCTTCGTGCGGTATTGTAGGAAGTTTTTCGAGACTGCGTTTTCACAAGTGGGCAAGCTCAGCGCCTGCACGCAAAATGCGAAATATAGCACAGGTCGAGTAACGCATATGTTGTTAATGGTGTGCACCCTCATTATCACATCACTTCCTCCATTATCACATCCTGCATTATCTTTCGAGTTGCGCTTGGTGGTTGATAGATTAAGCGGCAGTTATTGCTGACGTCGTTGATGAATTAAGGCCGTAGTTATTCCTGCGCTTCATGTTTCATAAGAGAGGGAAAAACGATAAACGAGCATCGCATAGCTAATATGCTTTGTGCGCTGCTGCCTAATACGGGGCACTGAAAATGTTGGCTCAGAATAAATGCTTTGGTTGTTTCGCCTACATAGCTAAACTCGTTCGCTAGTCAACTCGTACGCAGCGAGCATCCGAAGGCCGTGCAACTTCCTCAAATGAACGCTTCCAGACCGGTAAGAGCAGATAACACTAAGAAAACTAGAGGCTGAAAAATAAGTATGTTGAAACAGAGATATAATAAAAAATTAAAGAGAAAGAGAAAAAAAGGTACCACAGGTAAGTTAAACGGTAAGAGGTCATAGTCTCGGCTGATTCCGCGGTAGGTAAAGCGGCGTCAGAAGATGACGCTGATGCTGTTGGAGTTTCCGTTTTTATTTACGTAGGAATTTTTACAGGCTATTTTGAGGCAACCATACTCGAAACAAGATAAATGCTTTAGCGGTGCACTGACGAACGCTCTTACCTCGTGAAGTTCAATGAGGGTGAGCGAGGGGAACCTCAGCCTTAGGGCTCCGGAATGAAATTTTGTTCGACTTGCTGACCGATTTGTGTCTTATCTTTTTTTTTTGATCGCTTTGTTTTCCTCGGGCTTCATTTCCCCAAAAGAGTTCACATTCACGCTCGAAAACAACGACATTATTCTTTACGGAGCCAAACAAATCACGAACTTCATCCGTACTGCGTTTTATAGTGCGACTCTTGTAAGAACCTTCAAGATCACTTTCACAGCTTCGATCCCACGATCATGAAACAATGCAGAAGATCAGCGGTAAATGACAGCAAGCGTGAGACTTGAGCGGTCGTTCACACGTGCGCGGGCAACAGAGAGCTGGCCGTTGAACTGCCAGCTTCCTGTCGATCACATACGATTGCACATATTGTCACTCACCTGATCTCGTTGTCGATCTTGTAGCTGCTCTTGTAGAAACCTACGATGCCACCAACCAACGAGCCCCTGAACTTGAAATGCAGGCGGTAGAGACCCGCGGGACCAGGCTTGTCGGCGACAGGTACCACGAAGAACTCATTTAGGTCGTCTTCGAACGGTGGCCCCGTGCTCAGTGGGCTGCCGTCCTCAAACAGCACCTCGGTCTCATCGACAGTCAGCCGGAAGACATGAACGACGAAACGGTTCACAGGTCGCGTCGCGTTTACCATGATCCACACTTCGCCGTCGAACGTGTCCCTGCTCAGATGAGGCTCGAGCATCAGATCATACGCGAGCGGCACTACGTGCGTGGGTAGCCTGAAGTCCAGCTTCGGCTTGGGTGGCTCTACAGTGGTTGTCTGCAGCGGTGGCCTGGGCGTCGTCGTAGTCGACGGTGGCTGGGTCGTTCGGCGACTTGGAAAGTTGCCGCCGTCGTTGTTTACCCCGCGTCGTGGCGTCGCCCCCTGGCGCATGTGAGCGTCTCGCGTCTGCTGCTGGTGTCCCTTAAGGAAAGCAATGAGAAGACCGACAGAGCACAGCAGCAGCATGAGCACCACCAGGCCGCAGGCGGCCGTCGATCGCCGGTGGAACGTCTTGCTCATGGTGGAGCGGGCCGCCGAGTCCACCGCCACGGACCCTCCTGCACGTGCGGTGGCATCTGTGGCTTTGAAAACGGTACCGCCGCCGCGCCTAGGCGCCATGCAAACTGGTTTCAGCTCGAGGCGCTTTGATTCAGCGCCATCTGTCGGTGCCGCATCGCACATTTCGTGCGCCGTCGGCCGACTAGCGCGGCGCTCAGCTGAGCGGGCAAAAAGAAAGCTGTCAGGAGACAAAGACAGCCGGTCCACTTGTGGAGCGGTCGGCGCTGGCTGCTCCTCTTTGTCCACACTCAGCGGCGCTGTCCTGAAGGATGATGACGCCGCGAGTCGGCGGCGGAGAACGCGCGCCCGAGTATTTAGTATCGAGGGCGCCTCTCCCACCGCTTCTCGGACGTCTTTCCCGAGCGCTAAGGGAAGAAACGCCTCCGGTTACGCGTGCGCTGCCGCGATCACAGTGCTGCCCCTCGGCGATCACCGAGGAAAAGACGCGATTCGAGGTTGCCTGCCGAGAACAGCCTAAACCGGCGCGGTGACGCGTCGCGCGGACGTAGAACAATGCAGGGGCGTGCACAGTGCCGTGCGCGAAGCCTGTTATGTAAGCGGGTCAGGACACTAATTGGACGCTAGCGTAATTGTAGCGCACAACATGGAGCGTACGTGCAGCTCGGTAGCCTCGACCTCCGACGCCTGCTAAGCACGGGGAAATAATGATTTGACGCATCGTTCTTTTCACGTGCTAGATCAAATAACGCACATTTTTCCCGCGACACACCTGAGGAAAGCAAGTTACTTTAGTTTTTTATTGATTTCGTTTAGTTCTTTGTTGCCTGATGAGAGCATGAGTAAATATCTAAAGACTCGGACTCCTGAATGCACTCGTCAAGTAAACGTTGCAGCTTTATTCACGATACGACTGGCCATCTGTGAAATAAATGGCGCTTTTCTTGCGCGATCCTTGTTTTTCTCCCTTTTCTTATAAGTTATCTTGCATCAGAAGAGGCAAACAACCTCACGCGAAAAATTTTGAGTGGCGTGCTTCGGCAGTTTGCAATCTCTAAATCCGGCTGTTTCTTGATGTTTTACTTTGTGCACATACAAAGAACTGCGGTCGCCGACAGCTGCGTACCATTCGGGCCACAACTTCATTTCAAAGTGTTCGGGAAATCTACGGCGACTGGGTGCAGTCAGCTACTGCATATAGGTAAGCGTGGTGGCAAATCCTACATAAAACGCTTCTGCGATGTCTTGCAAGTACCATTTCCACGCGGAAGAGAAATACACATGTTTCGCAGATTCTTTAGGAGCACACACCAGCATCTGAAATGAAATTGTGCGGAGGTTTCCACTTCGCATTATAGTTCGTGCATACGCGTGCGTGTGTGTGCGTGCGAGTGTGTGCAATTAAAAAGAATCTTCTCTGCCATTACTGCAGCTTTATGAATAATTGAAGGTTTTTTATTATAGTATGACAACATGCGTTTGGTATCAGTATCTGCACATTGTTGCTTGAAGGCTTTTTTTCTTCACTATATTAGGTGAATCTCGACTGTCTCGATGTTGCGACTCATGCCAGGAAATGACAGAAGAAAACAAGAGACGCCGGCGCGAATGGTCATAGTGGATGATAGCTGGTAAGCATACAGAGGCCGATATTTTATAAGTGCAGCGCGGGGCTTCACCCCGGCTCTTGGATGTATCAAAGCGAGGCGCCCAGTGTGTAAAAGTAGTATACTACAAACAGCAAAAGTTTGCGGGACGTTGAATCCACCATAAATGCGAATTTCTGCTATAGCAGTGCTTAACGCTTGTAATCAAGCTGGTGACTGTATTGGTCGGAATACCAAGTGGAGTATGAAACATTCATTTGAAAATTACATTCCCAGACAAAGCGGAAATTAAGCTTTATCGAGCATTTCGCGTCACGTTAACTTTTGCTGCTGATATTACGCTGTAGCCACGATAGTACCAAAGGGGCATAATGGAATGTGTGTATCCTCAGAGTATGCATCATCCACATGGTCACCACATCGATATTACCTTGTCCGTGCGTTAGAAGACGTCCAGAATGGGGTAGCGAGATTCATCGCTGGTAAGTACAACTATCATTGATGCATCACCCTAACAAAACAAGACCCTGCACTTATTTCACTGGATCGACGCCACTTCATTGCCCTTTTATGTTTATTTTATCGGTACATACACAGTAACAAATTCCACTGTTTACCGCTTCATCTTCCTCAGCGCACATCTAGACACCTTCACAGCGCACGTAGTTTCGTGCGCACTCATGGTTACACACAGGCAACTCATCCCCGTTCCCTCGAACCATAGCACGTTGGAACGGCTTTCCAGATCACATTGTATCCACATATAATTTAGAAGCTTTTCGCGATAACCAGATTTTGTTGCGTTTTACATTTTGCGGCACTTTGCTATTTATCACTTGTTTTCTTTGTTTCTTTGTTCTTTTTTACTTTTTGTCTGTATTTTTTGCAATGTAGATATACTCGATGCCCTTTATTGAGCCTTTAAGCCATTTTGAATAAATAAGTAAACAAAACACTTTCCGACTAAGACTTAAACTTTAAATTTTGGTTTCCTTACTTTTTTATGCAACCAAAAAATATGCAGCAGCTCCTGCTGTATGCTCGATATAGCCTGTTTACTGCAGGGAACAATTTTTTTTTTGTTCCGACTGAGCACTCGTACATCTATCTGCAAGTACTGCACAGGTTCCGGACGCCTACATGCTATAGGATGGGGATGCAGGCAAAAGCCCTGGAACCACTACACTAGCTGAAGAAGAGTGGGAGGCCAAGTTATTGGACCGAGGCCTGAAGAATTAGTGAAGCCTGGTTCGACGGGCGCGGGAGTTGGCGAGGGCCCGTAGCTACCTAGAATGAGGAGCCCGCCCACCTTGAGTGCACAGTGCACTTGCTCAAAATAAAAGTAGGTTCTATCTCGCTTTCTCGTGCATTTTTTAAATGTGGACCATTTCTTAGCGAACTTCGGCGACTTTGCGCGTATCCATCTATCTATCCACCTACGACTTTTAGCTCTCCTGGCCATTTCGATAATGGTATCAATACGAAACTTGGCATGGCGTAACATGACTGTATAAATAACATATCTGACTAGTCATAACATGAAAATCATGACATGCATGTCATGAGTGTCATGATTTACATTTCATGGTCTTGCGGCTCAGCTTGCAGTGGTTTTGTTAACATGACATGTTGCAAAACTAGTATGGTATGACATGATTCCATGGCGAACACAAGCGACAGACCCTAACATAAAAATAATGACATGCGTGTCATGTAACAACATGACTACATGCCAAGCTCATGATGCACTCGCGGGCGTTTCGCTTGCGCCATATACCAGATTTGGTATTGCGGTGCGTCAATGATGACGAAGGTATGTGACTGGTGCAAACATGATAATCATGAGATGTGTGTCATGTAACAACATGATTACATGCCACACTCATGATGCGCTCGCGGACGTTTCGCTAGCTTTACATATGCCAAATTTGGTAATACGTGACGTTAATGGATGACGAAGGTATGTGACTGGTGCAAACATGATAATCGTGAGATGCGTGTCATATGTGAACATGACTACATGCCACAGTCAAGGTGAATTAAATTTCGACGTGACGTGGTGCGCGTGCGCACCGGCGTTCATTTTATCGAGTCAGGCCGGCGTTGCCGAGCCCGGCACTGGTCCTGCCATATGCTCGCAGGTGCACGCCACGTTGCATTGATTTGACGCATGCGCCTTTCAGCGCGTCCGACGTACCTCCGTCACGAAAAGAGGGAGACGCAGTGTTGTCTGGGTAACGCATCGGCGCGAAATGCAGCATGTCTCATTTCACGCCGCCTGCCGTCGGGCCACACCGACGGATGCTGGTGGCGTCGGTCGCGCCTGACCTCAGACTATAGAGTGCTCGCGTTTTGCTAACGTAGCGTCGCTGTGCCCAGCGTGTGCACGCGTCAACGCTACATTGGAATATATTGGGCCCTTCATGATGCGCTCGCGGCCGTTTTGCTAGCTCCACATATACCAAACTTGGTGTTACGTGACGTCAATGGATGACGAAAGTCCATGACTGATGTAAACATGATAATCCTGGCATGCGTTTGATGTAAGAACATGACAACATACCACGCTCATAAAAGGTGCTCGTGGTCGTTTCGCTAGCTCCACATATATTAAATTTGGTACCACTTGTCGTGAATAGATGACGAAGGTAAACGACACGTCCAAACATGATAGTCATGACACGGAACTCATGTACGACATCATTTACCTCCACACCTCATAACGTTGCGCTGATTTCAAAGTGACATATCAACATTTCTCATTCGTGCTTCGCATATAATTGGTTCCCACTGTACGTGGAATCTGCCAATTTTTTTTTTCTGGCAGTGACGATGCCAATTTGCTGAAAAGGGGAAGCGAAACAAAGGCTGGAAAGGAAGTTAGCTTAGCGCATTCTAAGATCGACTGGCTATTCTGCGTAGGTAAATGGTTCTAAGAGAAGACAGGATGAATTTATGACAGTTTGCCAAGTGCTGTTTACAATATTATGGCTATGCGCTAAGGTAGCCCTGCATGGTGGTAACGCAATTGCTGTATCTTTCCTCTAAACATTTGGTTTAAATTGAAGAGCCAATGTCTTTCCCAATCATACTTTTTAGAGCGAGTTTCACATCACTCGAAACAACAATTAAAAAAAGGGGAAAATAATTTGGTACAATTCGCGCAGGCATGGCAAATAGCGTACTGATCGTAGTCGCCTTTAGTTACTTGGAGACATTTTTTAAAGTTTCCTAGCTTGCGAATTAGTTGAGCGCAGTTATGGTAAAAAAAATATTTCATTTGAAGCATAGGTTTTGTCAGCCAAGATGTCTTAGAGTGTAATCAGAGGCGCCTAATAAGGTTGTTTTTTTTTTCATGGTTATCTCTAAGTTGGCTTTATATGGTAAAATGAATGAATGAATAAATAAATGAATAAATAAATAAATAAATAAATAAATAGACTTTTCGACTCACTTCCCTGCACTCACATGGTTGCAAAACATTCAATTGATTTCATCCACAGAACAAATCCAGCAGACGTGCAAAAAAAAAAAAAAGCGATAGGTGGCAGCACCGTCCCCGCCGAGGTGTGGATAGGCGGTTGGCGGCGAGTATGCAAATACACGAAGCGGCGCTTCGTTGCGACCGGTATGAGGCGTTGTTGGCAAGTGCAATGCGTTGACCGCAGTTTACTGGTAATATCTA